AGGAGCCAGCAGGAGGAGCCAGCAGGAGGAGCCAGCAGGAGGAGCCAGAAGGAGGAGCCAGCAGGAGGAGCCAGCAGGAGGAGCCAGCAGGAGGAGCCAGCAGGAGGAGCCAGCAGGAGGAGCCAGCAGGAGGAGCCAGAAGGAGGAGCCAGCAGGAGGAGCCAGCAGGAGGAGCCAGCAGGAGGAGCCAGCAGGAGGAGCCAGCAGGAGGAGCCAGCAGGAGGAGCCAGCAGGAGGAGCCAGCAGGAGGAGCCAGCAGGAGGAGCCAGCAGGAGGAGCCAGAAGGAGGAGCCAGCAGGAGGAGCCAGCAGGAGGAGCCAGCAGGAGGAGCCAGCAGGAGGAGCCAGCAGGAGGAGCCAGCAGGAGGAGCCAGCAGGAGGAGCCAGCGGGAGGAGCCAGCACGAGGAGCCAGCAGGAGGAGCCAGCAGGAGGAGCCAGCAGGAGGAGCCAGCAGGAGGGGCCAGCAGGAGGAGCCAGCAGGAGGAGCCAGCAGGAGGAGCCAGCAGGAGGAGCCAGCAGGAGGAGCCAGCAGGAGGAGCCAGCAGGAGGGGCCAGCAGGAGGAGCCAGCAGGAGGAGCCAGCAGGAGGAGCCAGAAGGAGGAGCCAGAAGGAGGAGCCAGCAGGAGGAGCCAGCAGAGGAGCCAGCAGGAGGAGCCAGCAGGAGGAGCCAGCAGGAGGGGCCAGCAGGAGGAGCCAGCACGAGGAGCCAGCAGGAGGAGCCAGCAGGAGGAGCCAGCAGGAGGAGCCAGCAGGAGGGGCCAGCAGGAGGAGCCAGCAGGAGGAGCCAGCAGGAGGAGCCAGCAGGAGGAGCCAGCAGGAGGAGCCAGCAGGAGGAGCCAGCAGGAGGAGCCAGCAGGAGGAGCCAGCAGGAGGAGCCAGCAGGAGGAGCCAGCAGGAGGGGCCAGCAGGAGGAGCCAGCACGAGGAGCCAGCAGGAGGAGCCAGCAGGAGGAGCCAGCAGGAGGAGCCAGCAGGAGGGGCCAGCAGGAGGAGCCAGCAGGAAGAGCCAGCAGGAGGGGCCAGCAGGAGGAGCCAGCAGGAGGAGCCAGCAGGAGGAGCCAGCAGGAGGAGCCAGCAGGAGGGGCCAGCAGGAGGAGCCAGCACGAGGAGCCAGCAGGAGGAGCCAGCAGGAGGGGCCAGCAGGAGGAGCCAGCAGGAGGAGCCAGCAGGAGGGGCCAGCAGGAGGAGCCAGCAGGAGGGGCCAGCAGGAGGAGCCAGCAGGAGGAGCCAGCAGGAGGGGCCAGCAGGAGGAGCCAGCAGGAGGAGCCAGCAGGAGGAGCCAGCAGGAGGGGCCAGCAGGAGGAGCCAGCAGGAGGAGCCAGCAGGAGGAGCCAGCAGGAGGAGCCAGCAGGAGGAGCCAGCAGGAGGAGCCAGCAGGAGGGGCCAGCAGGAGGAGCCAGCAGGAGGGGCCAGCAGGAGGAGCCAGCAGGAGGAGCCAGCAGGAGGAGCCACCAGGAGGAGCCAGCAGGAGGAGCCAGCAGGAGGGGCGAGCAGGAGGAGCCAGCAGGGGGAGCCAGCAGGAGGAGCCAGCAGGAGGAGCCAGCAGGAGGGGCCAGCAGGAGGAGCCAGCAGGAGGAGCCAGCAGGAGGAGCCAGCAGGAGGAGCCAGCAGGAGGAGCCAGCAGGAGGGGCCAGCAGGAGGAGCCAGCAGGAGGAGCCAGCAGGAGGAGCCAGCAGGAGGAGCCAGCAGGAGGGGCCAGCAGGAGGAGCCAGCAGGAGGAGCCAGCAGGGGGAGAATGTCTTGAGAGAGCAGGTTGAGAGGGGTCACGTCACGTCAACTGAAGATACCACCAACACGGAAACATAAATTTCCTTCATTTTGTTTCCGTATTATTTTCCGATTTGCGTTATTGTTGTTGTTGATTTGTTTTAGCTTAAGGATGAAAAATAGGTTTGAAATGGAGTGAAGTTCTATCTGAAAGTTTCTCACTAAATAACGATTTCGGGGCTTAGCGTTCCCGCGGCCCGGTCCTCGACGAAGCCTCCTTGTTGCTGGACTGGTTAACGAAAGTGGTGATTGATTGTCAATATTCTGCCTGGTTTGCCGCTCTGTTGACCAGGTAAGTTTTGTAGTTGTAAAAAATACTCTTTATGAAGATACATGAGGAAATAATAATAATAATAATAATAATAATAATAATAATTTATTTAGGAAAAAGTACGTACATAGTTGCAGAGTTACAGTACAAACATTCTGTTTGATTTAAAGATAGAGGTAGTACATATAATACCTAAAGCCACTAGTACGTATAGGGTTTCGGGCAATTAGGCTAAGTGGGTAGAAGCAGCATAGAGGGCAGGGTGATAAGGGTGAAGGAACAGGACCATAAAGGGTAATGCGATATGAATATGCATTGAGGGAGAAAAGGTTGGGCCTGAGAATAGAGGTGAGAAGGCAGAGGTAATAAAGAGGGTGAAAGGAATCTTTATTTGCTAGACATATTTAAAAAAAAAATGCAACAAAGACAATACATATCTGAACAAATTATGGAAAGAAAAATGCAGGAAGCCATGTAAATTGTCAACCACACTTCCCTGGAAATAAACATTCCATCCACCTTCCTTATCACGACTACTCAAGAGCAAGGTCGATAGAGCTTCGACCTCACACAAGCGTGGGGTCCACGGTCCCAGTCTCCTAGAGCCCAGGTGAATGGTAGTGTAACGTACGATTATGTTACGTTGTTGGGAAGATTAGATACACAGTGTTTAGTGAGTTTCATATTTATTTAGTAGTCTTGATTACAGTAGTCGGTTGGTGACATTGTCGTATACGTTCAGACGAAGCTTGGAGCAGAGCAGGGAGCTGAGTAAGGCCGAAGTCGCGAAGCTCTTTGTGGGAGAGCGTGGCGGCTGGATTGGAGAATCGTGAGTGTCTGAACTCACGGGGAGAGTGAGCAATGTAGCTTGATGCAGTCGTAGTGTGCTGTCTGCTCTGTGTTGAAGCTTGTAGTGTCTTAGGGTCAATTAGTACACGCCGAGTGCTACATTCTTGAGGTTGAAGACGTGAAGTAAATCCAAAGTGTCTGTACTGGAGTTCTCTGAATCACTGGAAATTGTACTGTTGTCTATTCTCATATCACTTCCTTATATTTGGTGACTGCACCTCACCTTTCTCCACTAGGATAGAAGGATGGGAGAACTGTTAACTGTAATTAGGGAAGATATTATAGCTTCTGTAATTAGTGCTAATTAGTTACGCCATTAAGATGATGAGACAAAGGAGCGAGTATAAGGTTTGCATACTACAGTATGAAAAGAAGCCTAATAGGCAGCTTTTGCAGTGTTTATACGTAGTTGACTATTATAATTCTGATTTATTATTGGTATTAGTAACTAAGTGAGCGTGGAGTTACCAGTGAGAGGCCTCGTCCGGAGGGCTGTTGTTGACCGTCTTACGGAGGGGAGATGGACAACAGCTCCACGTTGATCCAAGGATATCTTTATCTTATATCCTTGGTGATGGCGGCATCCTTAACTCAGATTTTTCCTTGTTGCATGCTTTGTCTGAAAACGTTTTATGGTGAGTGATGGAATGTGTTGGTGTGCGAGGGTGTATATAATCTCTTGTAACCTGCTCTCTCAAGACACTCCTCCTGCTGCTGCCGCTGGCTCCTCCTTGACACACTCCTTCCAGAGACATGGTGAGTCTTCAGACGCCTGTTGCTTGTACATGTTACATCTGTTGCTTGAAGATGTTACATCTGTTGCTTGAAGATGTTACATCTGTTGCTTGAAGATGTTACATCTGTTGCTTGAAGATGTTACATCTGTTGCTTGAAGATGTTACATCTGTTACTGGTAGCTGTTACACCTATTGCTTGAAGATGTTACGTCTGTTGCTTGAAGATGTTACATCTGTTGCTTGAAGATGTTACATCTGTTGCTTGTAGATGTTACATCTGTTGCTTGTAGATGTTACATCTGTTGCTTGAAGATGTTACACCTGATACTTGAAGATGTTACATCTGTTGCTTGAAGATGTTACACCTGATGCTTGAAGATGTTACATCTGTTGCTTGAAGATGTTACACCTGATGCTTGAAGATGTTACATCTGTTGCTTGAAGATGTTACATCTGTTGCTTGAAGATGTTACATCTGTTGCTTGAAGATGTTACATCTGTTGCTTGAAGATGTTACATCTGTTGCTTGAAGATGTTACATCTGTTACTTGTAGCTGTTACACCTATTGCTTGAAGATGGTACATCTGTTGCTTGAAGATGTTACATCTGTTGCTTGAAGATGTTACATCTGTTGCTTGTAGATGTTACATCTGTTGCTTGTAGATGTTACATCTGTTGCTTGAAGATGTTACACTTGATGCTTGAAGATGTTACTTCTGTTGCTTGAAGATGTTACACCTGATGCTTGAAGATGTTACACCTGTTGCTTGAAGATGTTACACCTGATGCTTGAAGATATTACACCTGTTTCTTGTTGACGCACAGTTTATGTCTGATGACGTGACATCTGTTCCCTGAAGACTTAACACCTATTACTTGTGTAGGACTCTCACACTGCTGCTGGGAAGGAAAATATGGAAAGGGTTGGGGGTGGGGGGGTATGAGGAATGTAAGGGCGGAACTCTCATTGGTTTGGTGGAACAAGCCTATAAACCAAAGTCCTATATAGAGGTCTATCTCTATATAGGTAGAGTCTTCTCATTGCCGATCTCCAGTGCACCTTAAAGAGTCCTCACTGAAGTCCCCTTCTACTTCTCTCTCTCCCACCATAGGCCTCCTACACCTGGTGTCTGCTGCTGGCGGCGCTGCTGGTGGTGATGTTGGTGACCGTACCCGCAGCCGCAGCTCCGCAAGACTTCAGAGGTGGCTTCTTCCGGCGTGCCAACCCCTTCCTGCAGGGAGACGTCTGGGGCAGAATTTTACATGATAACAGCTTCGAGGTCGGTAATTTTGGATATGACAGCCCCGAGTGGTTCGGACTGGGGTACTCCGGCTAGACCAGGTTAGCTTCCAAAGGCTACTACTGGCCGCTACAGGTAGCTACAGGCCGCTACAGGTAGCTACAGGCCGCCACAAGAAGGAAACTAATAAATGCTACGGGTCTTACAATCAGACAATAATAAGATATCTGAAATGTTTGCCACCTTTTCATCCTGTGTTTTGGTGTTGTGCTTAATACATGAGGCTATTAAGGCCACAACCATGGCTTACTGACCAGCCAGCAAGTATACTGTAGTCCTGAACATAGTCCAGGACTAAACTAAACTCTCAAGTGTATATTCACCGAGAAGTGGTATATACCTCTCGGTGTATACTATATGTCCCTTGTGAACTGATACAATGATCATTATATTTCTAATATCTTCCTTCTCTATAATATATTTTTCTGCAATTTATTAATATTAAAATGTATTCGCTGTTCCATACTGTATTTACTACTTAATCCTGAGGTATCATAATTCCAATCATTCAGTAAATAAATTAGCTTCATAAATTTGATCTAAAGTTTATAAATATTTAATCATGGTCTGTCTGCGTGTCCAGCCGTCGTGGTCCAAGAAAGATCATAAACTAAATCAGTGTTCCAGCTCTTGAGCCCTGCTTCTAGAGACGAATATTTTTGTTCATAAGTTACAGCGGCATTAAAAGGTTATAGTACAGTATCCCATGATTCGATCACCACATTCTGTGTTAATTAAAGACATTTCAAACCATCATTTTCAGGGGTAACTCTAGGAACCACAGGGGACCATCATAACCCACGAATATCTGGTTCTAAGACAGATCTCAGGACTATATAGGGTTGGCTGTAGTTGTGAGAATACATACATGTTATGGGGTCTTGTGGCTGAGTGGATTGCGCTCGGGGGTCATAGTCCGAATGGCCCGGGTTCAATTCCCAGCAGAGACAAATGGGCAGAGTTTTTACCCCTGATGCGCCTGTTCACCTAGCAGCAAATAGGTACCTGGGAGTTAGACATCTATTACGGGTTGCTTCCTGGGGGATGTGTGTGTGTGTGTGTGTGTGTTTGTTAGCGTGTGTTAGAAAGATATATATGTAGTAGATATAATAGAGGAAAAATAGATTTGCTAGAAAGGCGGGGTCCAAGAGCTAAATAGCTCGATTCTGCAGACAAAAATAGTAAATAGGGAAATACATACATATCATACGCTCACAATTCAGAGACACATGAGGTCTGTGTTGAACCAACACGTTCTTCGGCACAAAGCCTCAACACCAAGTCTCCTGGAGACACCCGCAGATCCAAGCACTGGCACCAGCTTGACCTGATTCTTACCAGACGTGCAAGTCTACCCAGCGTCAAGATTACGCGTAGCTACCAGAGTGTTGTCTCTGACACCGACCACTCCTTGGTATGTAGCAGGGTCAAGATGCAAACAAAGAAGATTCACCGCTCAAAAGAGGAGGGCAGACCTCGCATGGACACCAGCAAGACCCGCAATCAGGACAAGGTGGAAGATTTTGCACGTGTGGTCGAGGAAGCTCTCCCTGGTCTGGCCGGGGCCAATGCCCGCATAATCTGCACGAATTTTACTCGAATGCCTCCTTCAGCTGCTGCAGACGTCTGCCATCAGGAACCTGCATAAAAATCAGCAGCAGCTGAAGGAGGCTGCTGATGTCTGCAGTAGCTGAAGGAGGCATTCGAGCAAAATTCGATGTTAAGTTTCACTTACGAGATGGAGAGTGATGGGAAGCTGCCCTTTCTAGATGTAACAGTCACAGAAAGGAATGGTGGCTTCCACACTGCAGTCTACACTAAGGAAACAAACATAGGAATGTGCCTTAATGCCAATAGCAACTGACCAGATAGGTACAAGAGGAGTGTTGTCAACACTTACTTAGAACAGGCTCTCACTCACAGCTCTTGTTGGAAGCAGGTCGATGAAGAACTCTGTAGGGTAAGGCAGGTCCTAGTCAACAATGGCTTCTCTAACGGTTATGTTGAAGACGCCATTAAAAGAAAGGTGAAACGCCATGCAACCTCTGAAGAATCAACTAACACAACACTTGTACCCCCTATTAGACTGTTTTACAGGAACTTCTTTTCGACAGCTCATAAACCGGAGGAAAGTGTCCTGAAAGATATTATTAATAGGAATGTTATCCCCATAGACAAAAATCAGAAGATACAACCGACAATTTACTAAAAAAACAAGAAAATGGCCAATCTACTCATGAAGAGGTCTCCAGACACCAAAAAGAGCGCCTTGAAAGAGACCAACGTCGTCTATGCCTTCGCATGCCGACTTGGGGACTGTCAGCCCTAAAGATCTCAGTATATAGGCAAAACAACAACGTTTTGTTGTTGTCTTTCTCGGCGATTAACAATGCGCAAACAACAGGGCTCCATTAAGAAGCATATATCTCCTCACACAACCAGATCATCACCAGAGAAATCTTAACAAACAACACAGAAATTATCAATAGATACAGCGACAGCAGGAGACTCGACACCAGCGAGGCACTACACATAAAACAGTCAATACCAGCAATCAACAGCCAATTAACACATAATTACATTCTACCCACTTCAAGACCCCGAACCAACACAGAAGCAAGAAGAGAAAATAAGCAATAATTCGTGTTCTGACTATGCAAAATTATCTTTACCCAATGATTACCCATTGGTTTGTGTTCTATCACCTCTCCCAAAAACAAATATAAGCATGTAACGGAGTATATAAAAATTTGTCTCTGAAAATGTGAGAAGTCTCTTGCAAAACTCTTCTAGGCATCATATCCTAAATAAAAATATGAAAATAAACTTTGGAGAGTTAATTTTTCAATTACCCTCGACAGTGAAGACGTAAGAAATATTGAGAAGATTCGTGTTAGAATCATTAATCTTACCTTATCGGTCATATTCAACAACATGTTTACAAGAAAGACTGCTACACACACACACACACATACATACATACATATATATATATATATATATATATATATATATATATATATATATATATATATATATATATATATATATATATATATATATATATATATATATACAACTTTAGAACACTTTCCCACCAGGAGACTCGAACCCTAGCCAGCACAGAAGCCTTCCAGCAACTGGCATAACAGGTACGCCTTAACCCTCTCCACCACCTGCTCAGACCCTTAAAAGAGATGGTAATTTCGGAGTATATATATATATATATATATATATATATATATAAGTATATATATATATATATATATATATATATATATATATATATATATACATACACATACACACACACACACACACACACAATTCAATTTCTTTCTTACACACACACACACATATATACATACATACATACATACATACATACATACATACATACATACATACATACATACATACATACATACATACATACATACATACATACATACATATGCGGACAAGCTTGAATGGTCCCCAAGCCAATATGCAACTGAAAACTTCACACCCCAGAAGGATTCGAACCCAGACAGCCAGGAACACTATGCACCATGACGAACCTGGTTCCTTAACCACTCGACCAACGTGACTGTACAAAAATCATTGGTAGCCGAGGCTATATCCCCACCGACCCGACAGCACTTGGAGGTAAGCTTGGGCATATATATTTCATCGAATCCCCTCACTTTGTGAGGTATGTGTATATATATATATATATATATATATATATATATATATATATATATATATATAATATATATATATATATATATATATATATATATATATATATGACGACTGAAAACTCACACCCCAGAAGTGACTCGAACCCATACTCCCAGGAGCAACGCAACTGGTAACTACAGGGCGCCTTAATCCGCTTGACCATCACGGCCGGACAAAAGGAAGTGGTAGCCGAAGCTATTTGAACCACTTCCCCGCCGGCAACTCGGATGGTAATCTTGGGCATAGCATTTCACCAAATCACCTCATTCTTTGGGTGAAGGCTACCACTTCCTTTTGTCCGGCCGTGATGGTCAAGCGGATTAAGGCGCCCTGTAGTTGCATACTCCCAGTTGCGTTGCTCCTGGGAGTATGGGTTCGAGTCACTTCTGGGGTGTGAGTTTTCAGTCACATATAGTCCTGGGGACCATTCAGGCTTGTTCGCATATATATATATATATATATATATATATATATATATATATATATATATATATATATATATATATATATATATATATATGGGGTACTCTGGTTGCGTTTGTAGGGACCCTCGACCTCGACGAAGATGATATGTATCATCCGGGAAAGTCTTGTGTGGCAGCTGCATTCACTCACACATTGTCTTCTCCTACACCCCTATATTATTTTGTATGTTCTCATTTTATTGTATTTAAAACTTCACTACACAAAATGGGTTACAACATTGGTTACATGCAGGGTACAAGACTACTCGTCACAATTTGTTGAGTTACTCCAGCTCTTCAGATGGCGGACAGGAACCATGGATGCAGTGAGCATTTCCTCTCTGGATCGCCACACTAAGGCGCTGAAAGAGAAAACTGGCGGCTCTAGGGTCCCTAGTTGTTTCAATTAGCTTGGACCCCAACTCCTTCAAAAATCTAGCAGCACTTTTACCCCAGGAACCAAGTGTCTCTGAGGCAATGGGGACAAAATTGCAGTGGTGGTCGCGATCTTTGTATTTACTCGACTTGGCTGCTTCCCTTTGATTGGCAGCGCTGTCCGGATATGTAACACTGAAGTCCACATAGGTGTTGGCTAAAACTGAAACGCACATGTTTCACACCAACTGTCTACCAGTCTTACAGGGGTTCACCGTGATCTCCAACAGGCTCGTCCGAGTTGCGGGGCATTAGGTAACCTCTTTCTCAGGTTTTACAATGTAAAACTTATTTACCGACTAATTAACGACTGTAACGCGTTGTAATTTATATTGTATGCGTATAAATTACAATTATTATTATTAATACTATTAATTCAGGCTTTCCAATGTTTATAATATTGTCAAGGTATAAATATTAATGGAAAATATAGGAGCTACAAAATATAAATATAATATAAAACAGAAATATACTTTATATTTAGTTTTTGTATTTATATATACAAGAGTTCTTACAATCTTGTACTAGCCACTAGCACGCACAGCGTTTCGAGCAAGACATTAATCCAAATTTTTCCCGGAATACGACCCGCCAATCGTTTAACAATCAAATACCTATTTACTTCTGGGTGAACAGAGGCGAGAGTTAAGGATTGACGCCCAGTCAATCCTCCCCGGCCAGGATACGAACCCAGGCCAAAGTGCTGGGCTTTCGCCTTGTCTATTTTGGACAGGAGACGAACTGGATGTTTTACCACTGCGCCACAGAGACTATATAGGTAACTGATTCTATTAACTACATTAAAATATGCACTGTATTCTCATCCAGGTGAGTTTAGGTAAGGATTTAGTCTTT